CCCCAAAACCCCAAAACCCCAAAACCCCAAAACCCCAAGTACTATAATTTAAGTTGAAATTACATTTAAGTCAACTTCAAAGTCTTATCAAGTCTCAAGCATCTGCATCTCATGTAATATTTTATCGATTGTCAAGTTGTCAGACCTCTCTTCTTCTTCAAATCCTTAATCTTCATGAAGAAATATCCTCCAATCACACAGACTATCAGCACAGAGAGTATTGAGAAGAGGATGTAATTGTACCCATATGTGAAAATTGTGATGTTGAACCAGATCATGTAGACTATCGGGAACCAGAACCTACAGAAAATATCCAACCTGTTCATGATGTGGCTTGCAAGCCTGTAAGAAGTACTGGTCTCAATTTTGATAATTTCTTCTATTTTCTTCTTCGTCTCTGTCTTAAGCTTCTTGATGATAGCTCCATTGTTTTTATTTTATTTGAGTCTTGAGTCGGAGGAACGATTTGTGAATCCCACCAGCATCCTTGTTTTTGGTTATTTTGTCTTTGGATTTGTTGGGAGAGTTCAGATTTTTCCTTGCCCTCATGGTGATCTAGAGTTTTGCAAGTGGCTTTACCTTCTTGAGGATGGCGATAGTGTCTTTGTGCTTTCCTGGCTGCAAGGTCATTTGTCCAATCATACTTTTCCTTCTATTTTTCAATTATTGGGGGTTTATGCCCAGTAGAACCTAAAGTAGTAATATAACACTACCTTCTGCATGCATATTGTTTTTAGATTCTTCTACTCTACCTTCCAAGTACTGAATTGGGCTTTGTAATTTCATGCTTGTATTAGAAATGGGAAGGAAATCCTGCTTTACCGGACTTTCACTTCGATCAGTGTCTCTTCTATCAAGCCTCACAGAATTAATTTTATTTTTCTGGATGGTGTGGGATAATGCTCTTCCCATTGAAATATCATTGAGAGATTGCTCACCTTCACCTTCTGCCTCTAGCTCACCTTCACCTTCTCCTTCACCTTCTCTCTCAGGAATTATATCAAAATTTACAGTGTTCTTAGGACGAGGCTTGACTGGGGTCTTGAAGTCTTCCTCTTTTCTGAGTCCTTTGGTTACTTTTTGTTCAGAATTAGCCTTCTGAATTGATACTTTCTTAAGAATTTCCGGATTATTTTCAGCAGCAAGACTCATCTCATCAATAGGTGGCAAGGGATTTTTAGATTCCTTTGATATTGTCAACCTACCAATATTTATCATCGGCTTATTTCCTGTGTCCCTTCTGGGAGAGATATCATGAGATGCATTGTCTGAGTCATCTTTTGGTTCTTTATTCTCTTCACTTTTCTGTTCCTGTTTTCCAAAGGAGAAATCATGATTAGCATCATCAAATTCTAGAGTGATTACAAGGATTTACTTGATGGTTCTAGTTCGAAATCTTTTTCTTGAGGATTCTTGTTCTTAGATTTCCTGATCTGGTCCAGGACTTTGATGTCGTGTTCAGGTTCAAGATCTTCGTTGTTTATATTAAGGCAATAAGTTCCTCGATTTTTATGTTGAGATTGTTTACAGTTCATGTGCTGTAGTTCAAGATGCAGTACTAGATGGTTTAGAGTGGTGAGAAGTTTACCTCTATAGGATAGGGTTAGGCGGATGGTCAGGATTTTTGAAGTAGGTGTTGTTAAAATACAAGAAATGTACTTACCGATCATTGTTAACACACCAAACATCAAGCAACCTAGAAGGAAATTCCCCATCCAGTTTACTGAGGAAACTACTGGTAGGAGGAATAATGCATTAATATTGACCAAAATTGCTAGAGATCCTAGATAAGCTCGAGCAGGGACACTTTTTGAGTCAATCCAAAAACCGAGATAACTCATTAAAGTGAATAAGATAGAAGGAACTACTATTGTATATGTGTAGTAATTGATCTTTTTATCAGGAGATATTCTTAGTTGGATCCCACTAAAATCTTCCGATTGATCATAAATACGCACAGAGACCTCCTTAAGTTCTCCATTCGTAGTGTAGTTTTTAAGAGAGAGCTTTAGATATGCTTGACTGTAGGTTAATGGGTAGAATATGTATTTTCAGTCATATTCTTTCGTTTCAGTGGAGAAATCAAAATCTCAACGAAGTTCTAAGTTATATCTTTTTGCATAAATAACGGTGCCATTTTTGAAAACTGTCATTGTTTCTCTCATTATATCTAAAGATTATTAAAAAATACCTTCGTCTCTTACACTGTTAGTTATTTGTATTTGAGGTTTCCAAACTTTAGAAATATCATCACTAAAGTTGATCGAAGATTTGGTAGATATTGTGTCAGAGTATGCAAGTTGAGGATCTGTCCAAACCGATACCAAGTCAATCATCAATGAAAAGATCATTTTAGACTCATTTTCGTTATTCGTATTCTCAACATAAATATGATTCATCACTTCCGTTTGTCCTGGATAATTAGGCGGAAGCCCTCCTTCGTAATTCACAGTAATATCTACACAAAAATAATCAAAATTAAGCTCAAACTTATCAAAAAATTTTAATCCAAAAACCTCAGTATCCCTACCATCAATCACTCCTCACTGAACCACTCATATCAATCCTAAAATCAACACCAGCTTCATATTCTCTAAAATATTATAACTAACTCTTATTTCACAATTTTTTTCCAAACATCAGGGGTTTTGGGGTTTTGGGGTTTTGGGGTTTTGGGGTTTTGGGG